GCAAAGTTTCGTACTCTTTTAAAATGATATTGATCTTTTATTGACATAAGCTTTAGTTTAAGATTTATTTGAAAAATAATTGTTTAATTTAATTAAAGTTTAATGTTTTATGAGAAGACAATAAAGTTTGTTGAAAGCTTTCATTCTAATTAATATTAAAAAATAAATATTTCATTAATACTATATTAACAAGTAAGAAAAAAGTTAATCTTCAACGTAAATACAGAATATATAATTTTGAAAGCATGAGCCGTTTACAGAATTAGTTTTCTAGCATTTTTGTAACCAATATCTTGTTAATTAAGATAAATGAATGTCTTTACTGTTACAATATAATGACTTGAATAACGTGAAGGTCTGTCTAGCAATTTACGTGATTTACATGTCACACACATTTAAGGTCTTTAAGTGAAAAACTAAAATAATTACACTCACAGAATCGTTACATACTTTGTACTCAAACAATATTCTTTTAAACGAAAAATATTTTGTTTGTTTTCAAGAATTCTGTTTCTAAATGTATCTATTATTAATTTTATTTTTTATTATTGTTTAGCCGATAATTTTAGACCATATCTATCATCGTTTCAATCCAGTGAGAGTACAGACTATATAAATGCAGTATTTGTTGATGTAAGCTATTTCCATCAGAAATCCGATATTTTCACTTCAATTAATTATATTGTTATTATATTCAGGGCTACACTCGATCTAAAGAATATATTGTCACAGAATGGCCAATGAATAAGACTATATCTGACATTTGGTCCCTTATATACGATCACAATTGCAATTCTGTGGTCATTCTCGGAGGAATTCCCGATAATAATAAAGTAAAATAATAACTTCTAGTTTTATTACCATTACTAAGAAAATTACATTTCCTTAAGAATTATCCCCAATTCTGGCCCAAAGAGAGCGTCAAATGCAAGAAATACGGACCAATATTTTCAGTGGAGACGATGTCCACGAATAGTCCTCCGAGTATCAACTCGTGGGTCTTCAAAATCAATAAAAAGGTGGCCTCTTTGACAGAACTCATGGCCGGTATTAAAGCTGAGCCCAAAGTGACCCAGATATTTGAGTTCAAGTCGTGGCCGTACGGACACAAAGTGCCCGCCTCTACCAATGCCTTAGTCGAGTTGATTCATATGGTTGAGCGCTGGAGACAACGCACCGCTTATGGACCCGTACTCGTCATATCCGCGTAGGTCTCTCCACTCCTATCAAATCGGGTGTCGTTAACAGCAAATTCAATTATCAGAGTCATTTTCTAAATATTTCATTATTTAGAAATAGTTTTTCTATAATTTCTATTATTTACTCAATAGAGTGTCAATTGACCCCAATTTTGTCACTCTAATGGATAATGATGTTTGATTTGAAAGTATTTTTAGTAATGATACCATTAGATTAATGACACTTTAAATAATTAGTGATTATTGAATAAATTATTTTCTAATTGAGCAGAAATGGCAAATCTCGGGTTGGAGTGTATTGTGCGGCTAATCTGGCCATTGAACAGGTGGTCGCTCACGAAGAAGTGGACATTTTTAATGCTGTGAAGACTGTGAGGCGACACAGACCGGCACTCATTGAAAATATTGTAGGATTTTATTCTTTAATACAAATTCTTGTTTTAAAATAATAATTTTTTTTGTTTACAGACTGAATACAAGTATTGCTATGACCTAACCCTACATTACGTGAGCCACTATCTCAACAAATTAACAGATTTTTATAAATATAAATAATAATTGTTTTCGTATCGCGAATTAAACTTTAATTATTAAAGTAAATAAATAAAGTAAAATGTATAATAGAATATTCTGAATTGTTAATAATTTTTTAAAAATTGTTTGTATTAAGGATGAAAATATCTTATCTAAAAAATTATATAAAAATGTTTATACTGTATATTCTATATATAATATATTGGCAAATATTTTTGCATAAATAGGATTATGAAAATAAAACAGTATTACAAAATTAGACCATTTATTGATTTACGACTTTTAATATTGATTTCCTAGCTTTCAATCTCAACACTTAAGTATTTACTCCAAAAATTATACAGTACTTGCATGAGTTATAACAACTTTAGACTTAAGTGTTGCAATTTATAAATATCATATAATTTTTATGAGAGGAAAAGTAGTCATACATTAGCGTCATATGAAACACTTGCAGTCATATCGACTGACACTTTCAGTTGATTTACACATGTCTTCACGACATGACTAAACCGATGACGACTTTATCCCATATTTTCTCACTTTTTGTTTTTTCATTGAATCCCCAATTCTTTAAAATAAGATTCAATTTAATTATATTCCTATCATTTTGAATGAAAATGTGAACATATTCTTTGTATGATTGATTTGTTTGTTTTAGTTTTTAATAATTTCTTATGTAAACAAAAAATATAATAAACTAAACCTAAAGCTAATGAACTCTGGGGCAAACTTTTAAAATTAATCGCGAAATATAACACAAAATTTAATAAATAACTTTTAATTTGCATTAATTCTCAAAAAATTGCGTGAATTAATATTGTGTTAAATTACAGTAAATAGTATATAAAATTTATAATTACATAATAATTTAAATAAAATTCATTAATAAATACAATGCAAGAGTTAACTGAATGATCAGAAGAATATTGACATAGAATTCACTCGTTTTCTTCCAACACTTGTCCCAAATCTATACTAATCTTGAGATTATCGGGCATTTTGTCGGCATAACTGTTCACATCAATGGTGGCGAACTGGGCCTCATCTCC